AAATGTCAGAACGGTACAGATACCCCCAAATGTCAGGACAGTACAGATATCCCCCAAATGTCAGAACGGTACAGATACCTCCCAAATGTCAGGACAGTACAGATATCCCCCAAATGTCAGAACAGTACAGATATCCCCCAAATGTCAGAACAGTACAGATACCCCCAAATGTCAGGACAGTACAGATACCCCCCAAATGTCAGGATGGTACAGATATCCCCCAAATGTTAGAACAGTACAGATATCCCCCAAATGTCAGAACAGTACAGATATCCCCCAAATGTCAGAACAGTACAGATATCCCCCAAATGACCCCTTTTTGCAGAGTAGACAGACCGACGTACTTCATAAGAGGCATGGCAAATTTTTTGAAGTTGTATTTTTTTTGTCATAATTTTTTGGAAAATTAAAAAAATTAGTTTCACTATTTTTTCTTTACATCCTGTCACCAGTGCAGTACAGCGTCATCATATAACTGGCATGGCGGTGATCAGGGACACTGATTTATAACAGTATGAAAAAAAATATATATATATATTTTTTTTTAATATTATTTTTTATTTTTTATTACATTTTTTTTCTTTTTCCTTATTTTGTTTTTCATATTTCACTATGACCAGAGTAGTACAATGTTACCATAGTAACATTGTACTACTTTGGGGAAGTGATCAGTATTTTTTTTTTTTTTTTTTTTACACAATTTGATTACAGCAAAGAATTACTTTGCTATAAGCAAGCATTTACCTGAATGACATCGATTCATTTAGGTTTTTTTTTTTTTTTGTGCTTAGCTGTGATTTGGCCACAGCTAATCACATGACATGTGCATGTGATCACTGTGACCATTCACAGCTAGACACTAGTATACAATGGATGGCATGAATGAAGCCATCCATTGTATACAACTGTCATGTGACCTGTTGTGATTGGTCACAGCAGGTCACATGGTACCGGCAACGGGGCCAATACTCAGAATCTGTCATTGGCCGTGTCCGAGGTACATGGCCGGTGACAGATCGCGCCGCTCTGCAACCGCGCAAACTGCGCATGTGCGGGAGGACGCCAAATGGCGTACACCCCGGAAAGCTAAAGCATTTTTGGGCCGCCAAACGGCTATAGGCCGGGTGGCTAATGGTTAAATTTTTTTTTATATATTACAAAATATATGAAAAATATTTAAAAAAATACTTTTCCCTATATTTTGTAATATATAAAAAACACAATTTAACATGTTTATTTACATGGAAGAAAAATATATTTGAAATACTACAATGTTGGCCGTATTCAATATAATAAATTTAGTTTCAGCTGAGAGATTAAAGGAAAATGAAAACGCCTGAGCCTGACAGCTCCCATAAAACTGCTCAAAGTTTGATCACCAAATGTTAATTTGGCGCCGTTGTCGCTCTGGCGTGCTGCGGACGGCCAGCTTGCATTGTTCCTGTCGCCTTGCAAACAGTCCACTTGATGTCGTCACTCGGAGTCCAGAACAATTGCTGAAAACCTGGGCGAGACGCGCTTTTTTTTTTTTTTTTTTTAATGAAAAGCATCATTAGGCTGACGGCGTGGATTCGTTGAAGTGCCAGGTAATGATTTTACAGGTAATTAGATTTTAACAGGCAGAAACAAATTCCTATCCGGCTCTTGTTTATGGCGAGGTAATGATGGATGGACGATCGAGCAATCTGTTGTTTTTTAGGCGCACCAAATTTCTTAATGCCCTAAAGCAAATGAAATATTACATGTCAGGAAGTGATCAGCGACTGTATAAAACACATTAGTGGCCTCTTTGTTGTGGCTTTTCTTAATCGGAGATCGTTCATCATGTCAGTGGAAGATGGAGCGTCGGGGGTTATCGCCGCCATGGAGAAAAATGGTTGTGAGTCCGAGAGGTCAGGAGGACGAGATAATATTTGGGGTTAGTGTGGCCTTTGTGGAGAACGGGTCAATCTGGGAACATTGTTACTTCAGAGATAACGTTTATCGAATTGTAATTAGTTACATACAATCATCTACCATATATAGACAATATATTGCCGAAAGTATTGGGCCCCGCCCTTTCCATGCACATGACCTTTAATGGCTTCCCAGTCTTAGTCCGTAGGGTTCAGTATTGAGTTGGCCCCGCCCTTTCCACACACATGACCTTCAATGGCCTCCCAGTCTTAGTCCGTAGTGTTCAATATTGAGTTGGCCCCACCCTTTCCACACACATGACCTTTAATGGCCTCCCAATTAGTCCGTAGTGTTATTGAGTTGGCCCGCCCTTTCCACACACATGACCTTTAATGGCCTCCCAGTCTTAGTTCGTAGGGTTCAATATTGAGTTGGCCCTGCCCTTTCCACTCACATGACTTTTAATGACCTCCCAGTCTTTGTCCGTAAGGTTCAATATTGAGTTGGCCCTGCCCTTTCCACGCACATGATCTTTAATGGCTTCCCAGTCTTAGTCCGTAGGGTTCAATATTGAGTTGGCCCCGCCCTTTCCACACACATGACCTTTAATGGCCTCCCAGTCTTAGTCCGTAGGGTTCAGTATTGAGTTGGCCCCGCCCTTTCCACACACATGACCTTTAATGGCCTCCCAGTCTTAGTCCATAGTGTTCAATATTGAGTTGGCCCCGCCCTTTCCACACACATGACCTTTAATGGCCTCCCAGTCTTAGTTCGTAGGGTTCAATATTGAGTTGGCCCCGCCCTTTCCACTCACATGACTTTTAATGACCTCCCAGTCTTAGTCCGTAGGGTTCAATATTGAGTTGGCCCCGCCCTTTCCACTCACATGACTTTTAATGACCTCCCAGTCTTAGTTCGTAGGGTTCAATATTGAGTTGGCCCCGCCCTTTCCATGCACATGACCTTTAATGTCCCCCCAGTCTTTGTCCGTAAGGTTTAATATTGAGTTGGCCCTGCCCTTTCCACGCACATGACCTTTAATGACCTCCCAGTCTTAGTCCGTAGGAATCAATATTGAGTTGGCCCCACTCTTTCCACGCACATGACCTTTAATGGCCTCCCAGTCTTAGTCCGTGGGGTTCAATATTAAGTTGGCCCCGCCCTTTCCATGCACATGACCTTTAATGCCCCCCAGTCTTAGTCCGTAGGGTTCAATATTGAGTTGGCCTCGCCCTTTCCACGCACATGACCTTTAATAACCTCTCAGTCTTAGTCCCTAGGGTTCAATATTGAGTTGGCCCCGCCCTTTCCATGCACATGATCTTTAATGGCCTCCCAGTCTTAGTCCGTAGTGTTCAATATTGTCAGGGCAGGAGATGTGGAATGGACAGGCAGGCCTATGGTAAGGTCACGCACTGACTGACGACAACCACCACCCACAGACCGGAGTCCCTCAGGGCGCGGAGTCTAAGTCCCAGCTGTGGTAATGGCCGCCGCCAATGGCGTGTAGCTGGTAGGAACCAGATCAGACAATAGTGTAGTCGGACAGGCCGGGTCGACAACAACAGGACAAACAGTACAGAACAGTAGACAAGAATAACAGGTCACAGGCCGGGTTCAGCAACGGGAGGTCAGATCAAAGGAAAATGCAGAGAATGGTCTAGTCAAAAGCCGAGTCAGATTCCAGGAGAGTCACGAGAGTATAAACAGAGCTATTGCAACACAAACACACAAGACACGAATGCAGAGAGCAGGCTTAAATGTGATGAACCACACCCTTCTGAGGAGGAGCCGCAGAAGCCTGAAGGCATAAAGGTTCCCACCATGCTTTGCAGAAACCCAAGATGGACACCAGCACATGGGATGCACAAGCTCTGAGGAAAGGTAGGACCTTGACAAATATTGAGTTGGCCCCGCCCTTTCCACACACACGACCTTTAATGGCACCCCAGTCTTAGTCCGTAGGGTTCAATATTGAGTTGGCCCCGCCCTTTCCACACACATGACCTTTAATGACCCCCCAGTCTTTGTCCGTAGGGTTCAATATTGAGTTGGCCCCGCCCTTTGCAGCTATAACAGCTTCAACTCTTCTGGGAAGGCCGTCCACAAGGTTTAGGAGGGTGTCTATGGGAAGGTTGGACCATTCTTCCAGAAGCACATTTGCCAGGTCAGGCACTGATGTCGGGGGAGGAGGCCTGGCTCGCAGTCTCCGCTCTAATTCATCCCAAAGGTGTTCTATGGGGTTGAGGTCAGGACTCTGTGCAGGACAGTCAAGTTCCTCCACCCCAAACTAGCTCCTCCATGTCTTTATGGACCTTGCTTTGTGTACTGGTGGGCAGTCATGTTGGAACAGGACGGGGCCATCCCCAAACTCTTCCCACAAAGTTGGGAGCATGAAATTGTCCAGAATGTCGCCTTAAGAGTTCCCTTCACTGGAACTAGGAGGCCAAGCCCAACTCCTGAAACACAACCCCACACCACCCCCTCCACCAAACTTTACCATAATCCCCCTCCACCAAACCAAGACATGTCCATCGGATTACCAGACAGAGAAGCGTGATTGGTCACTCCAGAGATCACGCCCCTACTGCTCTAGAGTCCAGTGGTGGCATGCTTTACACCACAGCATCCGACGCTTTGCATTGCACTTGGTGATGGAAGGCTTGGATGCAGCTGCTCAGCCATGGAAACCCATTCCATGAAGTTCTCTACGCACTGTTGTTGGGCTCATATGAAGGCCACACCAAGTTTGGAGGTCTTTAGCTATTGACTCTGCAGACACTTGGTGACTTCTGCGCACTGTGCGCTTCAGCATGCACTGACCCCGCCCTGTCATGTGACGTGGCCTACCACTTGGTGGCTGAGTGCTGTTGTTCCCAGTTGCTTCCACTTTGTTATAATCCCACTAACAGTTGAGGGTGGAATATTTAGTAGCCAGGAAATGTCACGGATGGACTTATTGCCCAGGTGGCCACCTATCACGGGACCACGCTTGGAGTCACTGAGCTCCTGAGAGCGACCCATTCTTTCACCAATGTTTGTAGAAGCAGTCTGCATGCCTAGGGGCTTGATTGTATACACCTGTGTCCATGGGGGGGGGGGGATTGGAACACCTGAATCACATGATATGGAGGGGATTGGAACACCTGAATCACATGATTGGGAGGGGATTGGAGCACCTGAACCCCATGATATAGAGGGGATTGGAACACCTGAATCCAATGATTTGGAGGGGATTGGAACACCTGAATCACATGATATGGAGGGGATTGGAACACCTGAATCACATGATTGGGAGGGGATTGGAGCACCTGAATCACATGATATGGAGGGGATTGGAACACCTAATTCACATGATTGGGGAGGGGATTGGAGCACCTGAATCACATGATATGGAGGGGATTGGAACACCTGAATCCAATGATTTGGAGGGGATTGGAACACCTGAATCACATGATATGGAGGGGATTGGGACACACCTGAATCACATGATTGGGAGGGTTGGGATAATACTTTGGGCAATATAGTGTATGTATATACTGTACCTCTCAGCAGATGGGCTTGGAGTGTTACTAAACCCTGGACCCCGCATTCACTGTATCCGCTCTCCCCGGACCCCGCATTCACTATATCCGCTCTCCCCGACCCCGCATTCACTATATCCGCTCTCCACGGACCCCGCATTCACTGTATCCGCTCTCCCCGGACCCCGCATTCACTATATCCGCTCTCCACCAGACCCCGCATTCACTATATCCGCTCTCCCCGGACCCGCATTCACTATATCCGCTCTCCCCAGACCCCGCATTCAATATATCCGGTCTCCCCGGACCCCGCATTCACTATATCCGCTCTCCCCCGGACCCCGCATTCACTATATCCGCTCTCCCCGGACCCCGCATTCACTATATCCGCTCTCCACGGACCCCGCATTCACTATATCCGCTCTCCCCGGACCCCGCATTCACTATATCCGCTCTCCACGGACCCCGCATTCACTGTATCCGCTCTCCCCGAACCCCGCATTCACTGTATCCCCTCTCCCCGGACCCCGCATTCACTGTATCCTCTCTCCCCGGACCCCGATTCACTATATCCGCTCTCCCCGGACCCCGCATTCACTGTATCCGCTCTCCCCGGACCCCGCATTCACTGTATCCGCTCTCCCCGGACCCCGCATTCACTATATCCGCTCTCCCCGGACCCCGCATTCATTGTATCCTCTCTCCCGGACCCCGCATTCATTATATCCGCTCTCCCCGGACCCTGCATTCACTATATCCGCTCTCCCCGGACCCCGCATTCACTATATCCGCTCTCCCCAGACCCCGCATTCACTATATCCGCTCTCCCCGGACCCCGCATTCACTGTATCCTCTCTCCCGGACCCCGCATTCATTATATCCGCTCTCCCGGACCCCGCATTCACTATATCCGCTCTCCCCGGACCCCGCATTCACTATATCCGCTCTCCCCGGACCCCGCATTCACTATATCCTCTCTCCCCGACCCCGCATTCACTATATCCGCTCTCCCCGGACCCCGCATTCACTATATCCGCTCTCCCCCCGGACCCCGCATTCACTATATCCGCTCTCCCCGGACCCCGCATTCACTATATCCGCTCTCCCCGGACCCCGCATTCACTATATCCGCTCTCCCCGGACCCCGCATTCACTATATCCGCTCTCCCCGGACCCCGCATTCACTATATCCGCTCTCCCCGGACTCCGCATTCACTATATCTGGTCTCTCACAGTACACAGAACATGGGAATGCAATTATTTTAGTAAATCCCTTTCTCATCAGCATTATCTAGCAGTCTTGTGACATCTATCAGTGTCCAGTAGAGCACTGGTTAAAGCTTGCAGGAGGAGTTTTCATTCTCCCCTGATTGTCCTATAAAACTGCATAACCCTTCTGACAGGACAGTGCTGATTGGCCCTGTGCTGATCACATGCACTCTCCCAAGAAAAAGATAAATACTCTCTAGCAATACACACCAAACTGAGCATGTGCATCTTGCCCCCAAGGCTCTGTACTATCAACAGATGGATTGGAACAGTAGAAGAAGGGGAGGATCAGAGAAGACAGGATCAAACAACCTTTTTACACAATGCGGAGGATTAACCCCTTAGGTTCCACCGTGAGTAGAACAAGCATGCTTTACTACTAAGAATTCAGAGAAAAGGGGGCGGAGAGATTAAATATCTGCAGAGCTCAGTGAGGAGAGCTCTGAGAGCTGATTGGAGGGAAAAGACAGCCCCCCACCCACCCACCTCCCAGGAACATTGCTGAGGTTGCCAATCAGCTGGAGGTCCCTCCCCTGTCACCATTTTTCTCTTGGTGTCGGGAAAACTTGTCAGAAGTGATTCACATTGATAGCAGAGGAAGGTGGCAGCAAACAGAAATGACACTTAGTGCTCTGGACTGAGAAAAGTACACACTGTAGAGAAGTGGTCTTTAAATTGTGGCTCTGGGGCCAGATGTGGCCCTTTGCTTGCTTTTATCCCGCCCTCGGGGCACTATTTCATCCACTGATACCAACAATGGGCCATCCCCCCCCCTCCCCCTGACACCAATGATGGGGCCCAATTCTTCCCAATGACACCAACAATGGGGCCAAAAGACACCAAAGATAGGGCACTTTTTTTTTCCCTCTGACATTGGGACCTTTTTTTTACTCCCAATAGCCACAGTCCGCCCCCCCCTCCCTAAAATCTGAAGGACAGTAAACTTGCCCTTTGTATAGAAAGTTTGAAGACCCCTGCTATAGGAGTATATGCTTTCGTGCTGAAATATATTTACTGTCTGGGGCTTCACAACCAATAAATAGTAAAAATGTTGCAAAATAGATCTTTTTACGGCAAATTTTTGCATAAGCAGCTCAACAAACCTTCTGCTGCAAAAAAATTGCAGATTCCAAAATCTGTTTAGCTGAAATGATTCTGCTCCAGTCCCACCCACATGGAAGAAAGATATATTTGAAATATATTTTTAAAATATTCTTCCCAAATATATTGACATATATTTGAGATACTACAATTTTGGCCGCATTCAAAATATTTCAATAAATACACATATAGATATATATACAGTGGGGCAAAAAAGTATTTAGTCCCCACCAATTGTACAAGTTCTCCCACTTAAAAAGATGAGAGAGGCCTGTAATTGGCATCATAGGGAGACCTCAACTATGAGAGACAAAATGAGAAAACAAATCCAGACAATCACATTGGCTGATCTGGAAAGAATTTATTTGCAAATTATGGTGGAAAATAAGTATTTGGTGAATATGAAAAGTTCATATCAATACTTTGTTATATATCCTTTGTTGGCAATGACAGAGGTCAGACGTTTCCTGGAAGTCTTCACAAGGTTGGCACACACTGTTGCTGGTATGTTGGCCCATCCTCCATGCAGATCTCCTCTAGAGCAGTGATGTTTTGGGGCTGTCGCTGGGCAACACGGACTTTCAACTCCCTCCAAAGGTTTTCTATGGGGTTGAGATCTGGAAACTGGCTAGGCCACTCCAGGACCTTGAAATGTGTCTTACGAAGCCACTCCTTCGTTGCCCGGGCGTATGTTTGGGATCATTGTCATGTTGGAAGACCCAGCCACGTTTCATCTTCAATGCCCTTGCTGATGGAAGGAGGTTTGCACTCAAAATCTCACGATACATGGCCCCATTCATTCTGTCCTGTACATGGATCAGTTGTCCTGGTCCCTTTGCGGAGAAACAGCCCCAAAGCATGATGTTGCCACCCCCATGCTTCACAGTAGGTATGGTGTTCTTTGGATGCAACTCAGCATTCTCTCTCCTCCAAACACGACGAGTTGTGTTTCTACCAAACAGTTCTGATTTGGTTTCATCTGACCATATGACATTCTCCCAATCCTCTTCTGGATCATCCAAATGCTCTCTAGCAAACTTCAGACGGGCCCCGGACATGTACTGGCTTAAGCAGGGGGACACGTCTAGCACTGCAGGATCTGAGTCCCTGGCGGCGTAGTGTGTTACTGATGGTAGCCTTTGTTACGTTGGTCCCAGCCCTCTGCAGGTCATTCACTAGGTCCCCCGTGTGGTCCTGGGATTTTTGCTCACTGTTCTTGTGATCATTTTGACCCCACGGGGTGAGATCTTGCGTGGAGCCCCAGATCGAGGGAGATTATCAGTGGTCTTGTATGTCTTCCATTTTCTAATTATTGCTTCCACAGTTGATTTGTTCACACCAAGCTGCTTGCCTATTGCAGATTCAGTCTTCCCAGCCTGGTGCAGGTCTACAATTTTGTTTCTGGTGTCCTTCGACAGCTCTGTGGTCTTCACCATAGTGGAGTTTGGAGTGTGACTGTTTGAGGTTGTGGACAGGTGTCTTTTATACTGATAACAAGTTCAAACAGGTGCCATTGATACAGGTAATGAGTGCAGGACAGAGGAGCCTCTTAAAGAAAAAGGTCCAGGTCTGTGAGAGCCAGAAATCTTGCTTGTTTGTAGGTCACCAAATACTTATTTTCCACCATAATTTGCAAATAAATTCTTTCCAGATCAGCCAATGTGATTGTCTGGATTTGTTTTCTCATTTTGTCTCTCATAGTTGAGGTCTCCCTATGATGCCAATTACAGGCCTCTCTCATCTTTGTAAGTGGGAGAACTTGTACAATTGGTGGCTGACTAAATACTTTTTTGCCCCACTGTATATATACACACATATCTATATATATATATTTATTTATTCATTGAAATATATTGAAAATGGTCAAAATTGTAGTATTTCAAATATATGTCAATGTATTTGGGAAGATTATTTTTAAAATATATTTGAATTAAAAAAAAAATGTATGTATATAATATATATATATATATATATATATATATATATATATATACACACATACTGTATGTTGAAATGTGTTTTTTTTTACAAAATATATGAAAAATATTTTTAACAATACATTTTCAAATATACTGTATGTCTTTAAAAATACATTTAATCTACATTTTTGGAATGCATTTACAGATACATGTAAAAATATATGTTAAAATGACCTTTTTTATACAGTATGTTAAAAAAAAATCTGAAGAATATATTTAAAAAATATATATTTTTAAAAATGTTTTTCATATATTTTGTAATATATAAAAAAAAATGCATTTCAACATGCAGTATATATATATATATATATATATATACATATATATATATATAGCTATCTATGTGTATATATATATTTATTTATTGATAGAAATATATTTAATATGGTAGCAGAATCATTTCAGCTAAACAATGTATTTGGGAAGATTATTTTTAAATATATTTGAATTAAAAGACAAACGTTTTATATATATATATATATATATATATATATATATATATATATATATATATATATACACATACACTGTATGTTGAAAT